AATCAACTACTAAATTGTCTCATACGTCTAATTCGGAAGATATAATAAGTGAGGATGACAAATCTTTATCTAATACCTCGGTAAGTGTCTCAAATACTGAAGTCTCACCTAATAATACGACTCTCATCTTTAGCCACGAAGTGACTGCCTCCAGCAATTCCTTTGATGTTGATGAGATGGGTGAGGTCAAGACACAGGTAAGCGCACCCGATAGTTCTTTATATTTTAACTCGGATCCTTTTGATGATGAAAATTCTTGTGATAGGGACACTGACCCACAGAGTGAGGATGGAAATTTCTCTGATGACAACAACGAAGATGATGATAAGGACGATGGGGGATTCTGTGGTTTTTCGGATGACGATGATGAAGGTTATTATTATGATTTTAATACCGGCAAAACTTATACAAAATCTGAATATCGTTATTCAATCCGCGCATATTAATGGGATAAAACCTCATTTATGGTAATAGCTGGGAAACTAGCACATCCGTCATCGTGGGTTTATTAAAGGTTTGTAATTTATTTTTTCGTTAATAAAGATTCACATGTTACGCATATCGTTGATCCGGAATTGCAAATCATTAGCTACATTCTGTTTCCGAATTCTAAAATGAAAAACGTAAAATAGATGCACCGTTTCGGATGTAATCCCAATTCGAGTTGGGGTAATTTTTTTTGAGCGGGTATATAGGGTGATATGAGTGAGATTTCTTTTAACATATGGCAACTGAAAAAGCACCTGAAGTTTCGTCCGCCTCCAAAAGCGATGCCGAAGTATTCCAGCTTGAAGCACTTTCCTTAAATTACCTACGAAGCCAAAATATTTCAGCAATTCCGGATGATAGCCAGATACCAAAACTTCGCCCGTGCAAGCTCTGCAATAAAGCTATACTTAATTTCCGATTCGAAGCATTTACAACACTATCTTGTGGCCATATACTACACCGTTTGTGTATCGAGAAGCATATTATGCAAGGAGGGGTACGAAGACCTTCATGCCCAATCTGTAATTGGGATATCGAGATTAATAGAGAAGAACTTGCCCTAGCTTTAGGTGTGTATCATATAGAGTCTAAAGATCATGATAAGGGACAGGCTTCCCAACAATCGAATGTAACCATCACCGATGAAGATGACGACGGTGGTTTGGAGATTATGCGAAGTATGGGGTTGATAGAAGAGGACGAAGTTACAGCTGAGCAAACAAAACAAGTTAATACGGAGGATCAAACAATAGTCCTTACTGTGGATAATTCTGTTTCTATGCAAGATCAGGCTACAAGCCCCATTGTGATCGAGGATACTAGCACTACACTAGAGAATTCGGGAAACCAAGCTAACGAAAATTCTGGCCGTACCACCTTCCCTGATGAGAGTAGTAACGTATATATTACGCAAGATTCTGCGAAGGGGTCGAAGCTCTCTAATTCCGAGGATCAGACAAATGCAAATAATGAAAATGATATTACCATGGAAGAAAATAATACGTCAAAAACCCATTCATCCAGACAATCATCCCCAAAAATTGACCGTGATCGGAATAAATTACTGGGTTTATTGCAAGAATTATCCACACCAATCAAAGGAGAGACTGATGAGGATGGCGACGATGAAGGTTCTGATGAATCATTATCCCAAAGTTTAGCCCGATTATATCAAAAAGCGATTCAGGCCGAAAAACGGGTGACTCAGGCGAATCAACATGAAATTTTGTGTTGGTATAAGGATATGAGGATAGAGTTGATAATATTAAAACCAATGATAAGAGTATTACGGATCAAACAGCTAGGAAACAAGTATACAATGAAGTTATACAACATCTCCCAGGTATTACAAAGGATAATTTACGGAAAAAGACTCAGAAGGCCAGAGTTATTTATAAGTTGTTTGGGAAGATAGGAGTAGCAAAAATCAAGAGAGTTAAATCTTATAGTGCGGATGCAATTTCAAGTTTAACAACTATTCAAATCCAAAGTATTATAGATAGTTTTTCCAAGGGATCGAAAGATCTGCAAAACCTGTGAAGATTTCTTCACGGGTTCACGTGACTACTGCGCCACATTGTATTCTTGTAACGTTGCGTATGCAAGTATGGTGTGTATATGTAGCTTACTTTAATTTCATCTAGGGATGTTAACTGGTCCTTAGGGATTCAGTCCTGGATGATCTTTTTATTGAATGATCCCCGTCCGATTCTAGCTTTAGGGATTTTTGGTCCCACGATCCTTTAGTCACGTGA